GGGGGGGGGTGCGGGATATAACTCAGGTTTGGGGGCCCTTCATGTGACGTAGCAGCCAGGGTCCTTACCCTCCCAGTCCCAGTCCGGCCCTCATTCTGCTACTTGTAGTTTGTGATCAGAAATGCACTTTTCTTTGACCTCTATCTTCTAATTGCCCTTTCCACCATTAACAAAGATGTTATCATTACATGTATATCTCTTGTACCCCTGCCTTGTACCTTCTTTAATTTATTGTTAAAAAAAACCCTGCTGATTCTAGATTATTTAAAACTGCCCTCTTCTCCTTATAATTGTCTGAAAAATCAATTTTAAAATCTCCTGCTATACATGCTTGATCTTGATTAATCTTCATTGAGATATCCTGTAGTCTTTCCTCAAAATCTTCAATCTTCTTTGATCTTGTCACGTCGGTCTGACCCTGACCTACTCCTACATAAGGCGTTCTGTAGAGTCCTATAATTTTTATTTTCTGACCTATCGGTCGCCCCGCAACGGTATCAAAATGGTCTCCTAACAGGCAACAGGCAACGCAACCTATACTGCTATACGTACATAGGGATGATAAATCTGAACGTGTGAGAAATTAGATATCAGATCTTCCTTTTGCTTTAGAAAGAAAACTGGCTGTTCAAGTTGAGCCAAACATGCTTGCTCTTGGAAGAGCACATCCAGTATTAGCAACAGCTGAAGAGGAGCTACTTCTTAGGAGAGCTGAAATTAGTGGAAGAAATCTTTTGATGAACGAACCTTTTGAAGGTTTTGAATTCCGTTGAAGTGATTATCACATTGATACAAGGTCCAACAACAGTGTTGCTTTCCCATTTTTAATGACAATTTTGTTAACATTAAGAAGATTGTTGTAATTGTAGAAAATAGTAGGAATGTTTTTGGAATGTTTGTGGACAGTCATGTTGTCAGGTACCTGCTTTTTTTGTTATTCATAAAATTTTAAACATTGATGGCTGTTTGTGTGTGAATTTGGACCGGAGGAATTTCTATATATCCTTGCTAAAATTAGCTATTGGGTTAGGCATATTAAATGACAGTGTTTTCTTATCGTATTTTAACTCTGCAATACAGGTATTGTTTGGACCTAGTCCTGATTTTTTACTTTATACAATATTTTTCAATGTGTTGTATCTATCCAACTAAAATTCACGGCAGAGTAAAATGCCGGCATCATCTAAACAGTCAATTTAGTCTTTGCCCCTTTTTCTGCCAAAAAGAAGGTTCTGACGTGTTAGACATGTAGACATTAGGGTAAGGTGCCCTATGATGGCCAATGTACCATTGATGGCCACCCTCGTCTTTCGACCTCTATATCAGCTAACCAAGCGAACCCTCAGTTGCGTGCTAAGGGCCAACACTATGTTACCTATCAGCATCACGATCCTGCTCAGGTCGAGATTCGGCTGCGGCCTAGACGTGCCTACAAGAGCATTACACTAAACCCTGCTCTGTCGTCCGCTCGGCTGGGTGTTTTCTTAAGTGTATCTTTAGCGCAGCGTTCCCTTGGGATCGTCCGCGTTTGGCATGTACGAACCGGAGCTTGATGGCAAGGATATCTCTCCTGGATCTGGAAAGGGTAGGCTTCAATTCCACGAATCGAAACTTTTAATTTTTACAAACTTAGACGAGGGAAAGGGAGTGGCCATGATTGGGCCATAGAAAACACTGCATGGCCACCAGAGTTTTCATTCGGGTGGGTAATTCTGTCGCTCTCATACCCGACGCCAGCTCTGCGTTTTACCCGACCCGACCCGGCCGGTCACCGGGCCCAGCCCAATCGCGTCGGGTCTCTGGACCCGAGACATGCGCGGCGCAAACCGGAAGACGCGACAGGGGGTAATCTCTGGCAATTTGCAATAAATTGAGAAATAGACGAAGTTCTTCCACAATTTTTTTTGGGGGGGGGAAACGTTTGGTATCCTCTTCTCTAATGTTTCTTTCTATCCCCAACCCAAACTTTATTAACTACTTCACTAAAATAGCAAGAAATTAGAGTATTTTCACGACATGGAGTCCTTTTTCCGCGAGCAAATAGAAATGGAAATAAAATATTGTTATTTCTCTTTGCATTTAGTTAGTGTATGCTCTCCCTTGACAGTTGGCGATGATGCCACCGCCACCGTCATTATTGCGATTATCACCTTTAATCTTCGACGAAAGCATGAATTTCCCCCCTCGCGCTCGACTCGTCTGACAGAGAGCCGAGCCGGCTGCGTCACCTGTCCGTCGCTCGTCCATCGCGTCCCGAGCGCGCCATCGGCAGTTGGAGAGAGACGGCACTTGTCGTGCGCGCTCCCTCGCACGCTAGGCGGTCGGGTAATGGGACCCACCCGAATGAAAACTCTGATGGCCACCCTATCAACTAAGCTGTATTACTGTAATTTAACAGGGCGGGAACGGTTGATTATTTTAGCCAAGATGGCCAAGTGGATTACCGTACCGGAGCGTGGAACGCACAGTCGGTGGTTCGACTTCCACCGGGCGGTTGACCGAAACATATCGCCTCACAGGTCGATCACCGAGGCCAGTCGCAAGTCGCGGCCGTAAGTTGAATTTTCAAAATTCTATCACATGGGTACAATTTTTTTTTTTCGTGGAGCCCACAGTGTCTCCGTGATGTCTCTGTAGTGTCTCTGCGGTGGCTGCGCAGTGTCTCAGCGTTGGCTCCACTATGTCTTCATGTTGGCTCCCAGTTGTCTTTGAGATGGCTTTGAAGTGGCTCCAAAACGGATCCAAAGTGTCTCTGATAGGGCCCATGTTTGGCTCCAAGGCGGCACCGGACGTCTGAGTGCTTGCCCGCTTGGCCAGAGAGAGCTCGCACCGGACGGACCGTCGTGTGAGGGTCAGCTCCGTCTGTGTCTCCGGGCGAGTGAGTTGGCGCCGTTCTATTCCTACAGCAGACTCCCACACGACCCCGTTTAAAAATGATCAGCCCCCGGAACAGCCCGGACGGGCGGGCTCTTTTCGGGTTAGTCCGAAGTACCTAGCGGGCAGCCCTGAAACACACCCCAGAAGTGACAAAAACCGAAAGTTTCTGGGTATGCCCGGAGGCACCTTCGGACTGTTTTCGGGGATGCCCGAGCCCACCCAACGGTCACGAAAAAAGGGAAACAAGCGGTATTCGATCCCTTACCCTGCGGGTTTCTGTTATTTTGACTGACGCTCTTTCCAACTGAGCTACGGTGACGGCTGAGAGGAGATGCCTCAGGAAGGGTCCTTCAACTACATGCGCAGTCTTTACAGAAATGATGCCTTTCACAGCGAACCGATTGGCGCATAGCGACGCGGTTTTCGGGAAATGCCTTCGCTTATGTACTTGGCTCTGTTAAGGATGTGCCGAACGACCTTCAACATAAAAAATGACGTGTTCTGAACGATTAAATGAAGACGTTGGACTTTGTTCAATACCACTGGGCATGCAATAAAAGGAAGTTACCGAGGAAGTTGTGTTATGCACATTAAATTATTTTGTCGTTTAGTCTGCGGATTGTCTGCGAGCGATCTATGAGTGCTTTGCCAATGAGCAGCGAATCGACTGCCCTCTGTCTGCTCATCACCCCTTGTGAACTAACTGCGAATTGTCTGCCAAGTGTTTGAACCTCATCGGGGAGTTGTCTACGAAACATTTGCACCTGGTTTGGTAGATTAACCACATGGCCGACGACCTGCAAATTTTTTACAGACCTTTTCTTTGACTCGGGCTGGCTGTGAACTGCACTGTCATTAAATACAGCGTGGGTGCCAAAAAAGGCTCACCAGGATTCTTAGAAATTAGTGTGGCCATCCTTAGGCAAAATGAAGTGATTTTTTTTTTCTCTATGAATACATTTAACTTTCCCGTTTTTTGAACGGTGGCATGTTCTTTGAACCTTCTTCTACACCCCATGTATTTTTGGTATGGCTGTGACGTATAGTTGAGACCTGGTGAAGGGAAAGGGGGAGGCGTGCTCTTAAAGTGGGCATCAAAGAGCACCTTACTCCAGTACAACTTAGCAATGCGACACAATTCACATTATATTGTAGGTGGCGTCACAGTATTTGAATAACAGAAGGACAGAGAGGCCCCAAATCGAGAATGGTGAAACAAGTACCCCGCCCCCTTCAAAAACAGCAAATTGTAATCAAAACCGCTCCATACATTTGCTTTAACTTGGACACTATCAGGCCCAGCGATAGATTTGCTTAAAGCATTTGCAAAAAAATCAGTTTAGTGAAATTTTGAAAAACGGTAGAAGATTAAACGCATGTTCTGAGTCAAATGCTACATTTAGATTTGGGCTTGGATTGTACGCTAAAATGTACTAGAGACACTAAACGTACACGCCTCTGGTAGAATGGTCATCTGCATGAAAATCAGAAGGGCAATGGTATCACAGGTGTCCGAGCTGGTTGGTAAAGAAATTAAAATGGCACTTACCAAATATTTTTAGAAACATGAAATGTGACGACATGGGCCACAGGGCCATAGGTTGGAAGGCGCGTGTGACACATGTCACACTTTTTCCAGTAAAGTTCAGGAATTGTTTGCCTATATAAATCACCTGCCCAGCCTTCGTAATGTAGATTTTTGATGTTGGAAGTACTGACCGAAGATTCTCGAAGGTGTCTCAAAAGTATCACCGCCTTCGAGCGCTGCGCCGAATTTTCCTCTCCTAAATGGTGCAGCCACTCGTCCATGAACCATGATAGCGGATTTCCTCCACTGTTGCTACGTGAGTCGTCAAAAGATAAGACATAGATATAAGTGAAGAAGAAATTGTACATAAAAAAATGGTCCCGTATATCACTAAATCTTGTACACATCGAAAAAGCACAGCTACTGAGTATAGTGGCAGACGGACAAGTGAAGGAAAGGCGAGCGAGTTGGGGACAGTGCCTCCAAAAGGGCAGGCTGTTGCGGGCCGAACGAGTGTCAGTGGGAAAGTAGTAAAATACAAGTAACAACCTGCCCTTTTGGAGGCCCTGTCCCCAATGAGTTTTGGAAGGTTTCTTAATCTGTTCCTCGCCAATTTAATGGTGCCAAGCATAATTTTGTACGATCGGTGACACATTTTTGAACAAACCCGAAAAGTGAGATTCTCTCCGACGAGTTCATCGGAAAGACCAAAGTTGAATCTAGTGCGTGGTCTACTTTTCATCGTCATATGTTAAGCCGTTTGGCTGCTGCAAGGGCCTGTAAACTACTGACTTTCAAGTCGTTCCAGGACGAAAACTATTCAATGTAATACCTTGAAAAATAGACCACGCACTAGGCCTAGTATTTGACTATCCTACTTCGAAATTTGAAAACTGTGCGTTTTTCCGTTTCGCCGAAAATATGTCACAAAGTCGTCAAAAATTCTAACTTTGAGGCGTCGCGACGCCAAAACTAAGCGTCGGAAAGCAAAACGGTTCGAGGTGGTGTGTTGTAGTAAAATACACTACCGATTTCTGAAATAAAAATTTCTTCGCTCCTACTGCCTTAATGCTCGCAGGTGAAAGAGTCCGCGAGGTAGATTGACAAGCCCGCACAGTTTTTCAAGTCTAAAATTTTCATATTATTTCCAATTAAATTGATTTTTTGCCTTGACATATCTTAAGAATGGCATCCAGTAGTAAGATCTTTAAAATACATTAGTAGTATCAAGGTGTCAGCTGTAACTCTCGATATGGTGAGAGAGGAAGAAAACTAAAAGGGAAGAGACCTAAAGCATACCGGCAAGTACAAATAACACAACTATATTATTGGGCGCTGAGGGACTGGCTGTCGCGCTGAGGCCCTTTTCTTTCGCGTTAATATAGTTGTCATAACCGAACACTGGTTGACAAGCCAGGAAGCTGAAGACCTTGTAAGTGAAGGATTTCGTAAAGCTGCAGTTTTTGCCAGGAAAGAATGTACTGGGGGAGGAGTACTAATTCTTGTAAAGGAGGATCTCATCTGTGATATAAAATCTAGCCAAGATATTAATCAAATGTCCATAGAAAGGCTGTGCGAAATTGCAGCTATTAACTTTTCAATAAATTCTTTTAAATGTACCATAATAGGATTATATAGACCTCCTAATTCTTTGATAAATGATCTTGATCTATTTAATGATACTGTATGTGAAATCCTAATGAAATGTAACCCTCTCCATTCAAACGTCATAATGGCAGGAGACTTTAATATAGATACCCTATTAATCTCAAAGAAATCGAATGATTTTATAAGTACCTTGAACAGCTGTGATATGCAACTTATATTTAATTCTTATACAAGAGCAAATTTAAGGAATGGTAAAGGAACCTGCATTGATAATATTGCTACCAACTTATCTCATAAATTAGTATCTAAGAAAATTGTAAATACCTATCAAATTTCAGATCATGGAGCTCTGGTAGCTTCTTTTAAAATAGACCTAGCGCCTCAAGGCAAGATTTTCTATAAGAGAAAAATCAATGATGAAACCTTGCATAATCTCAATAGGGCTTTAATGAATGAGGACTGGTTCAATGTCCTTGACAAAGATGATACAAACTTAGCTTATAATGAATTTGTTGAAACATTTAAATACTATCTCAACATAAATTGTCCTATGATAAAAATTCGACATTCATCTAAACCTGTAAAGAAACCTGTTTGCATGAACAGTGAGGTTTCTGATCTTAAAGAAACTATATGTTCACTTCAATCCTTACTCTGTAATAAACTTGAAAGTAACTTAAGAAGAGATAGTATTATTGATGAAATTAAAAATCTAAGAGACAAACTTCTGTCCTCTATAAATTCAAATACAAAATCAAAAAAACTCTGAAATAATTAAAAAATCTGACAATATATCAAAGACTACTTGGTCGTTGATTAACAACATGAGAAAAGAAAGAGCTTACTCCGAAGGGGGCATCTCTCTATTAATACAAGGGAAGCCTTGTAATGATATTTCTGCTAACGCAGAATATTTTAATGACTATTATCTTCAAATACCAAACCTCATTGCAGATAAATTAGATAAAGTTGAATTCGACTCTTCTTTAGTTCAAAATACAAATAAATCAGTCTTTATGACTCCTACCGATACCAAAGAGGTTGAAAATGTAATTAATGAACTTAGTAATAAGATGTCATCTGGACATGATGAAATTTCTAATCAAATTGTTAAATTTGTTAAAAAGGCAATTCTAACCCCTTTGGTTCACATAATCAATCTATCTATGAAACAAGGAATATTTCCTGAAGAATTGAAAAAAACTATAATAAAACCTTTATATAAAAAAGGCCCTAAAAACTTGCCTCAAAATTATAGACCCATAGCATTAACATCCCCCTTCTCAAAAATATCTGAAAAGATATACTTGAAAAGGGTAATGGGCTTTGTTAGATTTAATAATCTCATCTCTCCATGCCAATTTGGGTATCAATCTGAAGTTTCATGCACTGATGCTGTTGTGAAACTTAATGACCTGGTATGTAAATCTAAAGCCAAAGGTGAAATAGTTCTCACTTTATTTTTAGACTTAAGTAAGGCATTCGATTGTGTAAATTTTTCAACTCTCTTTACGATAATGAGTAAGTATGGTATAAGAGGAGTTGCTTTCAATCTTCTTAAGTCCTACTTAGAGAATAGAGTCCAATCAGTGGCTCTTTCTAATGAAAATAATGAATTATGTATGTCTAATTTTAAACCTGTCAAGCAGGGAGTGCCTCAAGGCTCTATATATGGACCTTATTTATTCTTATTGTACACTAATAGTCTCGACTCTCTTTTTAAAAAACTGAAATGTGAAGGTGTGTTTTATGTGGATGACACTAATCTGATCATCTCAAGTAGGGTAAGGGGCCCAGTAGTCGACAGTACACCAGTAGTCGACACTTTCAACTTTGCGATCGAATTCCCGCGAAGTAGTTAACGTTAGAGTCTCGGGCGTTTTGCCAGGCTTAGGCGCACTGTATTGAGATTACAATGAACCCATTGCCGATTCTGTGCCACCTCCGGGAGCCGGTAGGGAGCGCTTCGCA